TGTTCCTCGCGGAGTCTCTGTTCCTCGCGGAGTCTCTGTTCCTCGCGGAGTCTCTGTTCCTCGCGGAGTCTCTGTTCCTCGCGGAGTCTCCGTCTCTCTTGGAGTCTTTGTTCCTCGCTGGGCTGGTCAGGACTCTGGAACAGGCTTGGACCCTGGAACAGAGTAGGTCCCCGGAATACGTCTGGACTGTGTGACACGCGAGACCTATACGGCGGTGGAGGTTCACTGGACTGCTCACCCTCACGGTCAAGTCGCTCTGGGTTTCCGAAAAGTGCTGCTGGGGCTGGAGTGTGCCCAAACAGGCCGCCCCCTCGAATATTATTAGCCATGGAGGAGTTTACGTTGAGAATCGAGGAAGAAAGTAAAACCCCATAGGAGTGTTGTGTTTTGGAGCGCGTTCTGCGATAGACGCTGCGCTGTTTTATATGAGCCAGCGGTCGGCGCCTACGGGCCTGCCAATCCATTCTGCACTTGCGAGATAAAAATAATCAGTTTTTAAACAAAGGGCTGTCTTCATCTTTATCAATCCTTTACTGTGCATTCACATTCGACGGTCTCAAAGGCAAGACACACAGACCTCGGCGCGGTGTATGGGCTAGGCAGGTGACCAACAACGATTGTCCGATGCCCGAGACCAGGGATGGGTGTTCTCTCAGGCATGAGTTCTCAGGGCCCTCCCTGGCCTTTGTACCTGCCATCTCTGCGTCGATGGCCTTTCTTCGCTTTCTTTGGCAACTCGGTAGCCCCGAGTGCCCGTTCTGACTTGGGGTTTGCCAACAGAACCATGTCTCTTCCATCCAGTCCTTGTTCCCGGCGTTGACTTCCTTGTCCTCTGGATTCCTAAAATAGGCTCTCCCTTTGCGCTCAGACGTCTCTACCCAGCGGGACTCGCTGGAACCCGCCTGCAAAGATCCTGTAGTTGTGATGGGACGACTCATCGGTGGCCTTCAGTGTTGGAGAAACTGTAGAGCATCTGCATGCATGATGCTCTTGGTATTCAGACGTGATAGTATTTGGCATACTGTGATGAGTGGTAGCAAAAGGGGCTGCAGCATCACGAACCGGGATTCATAATACGGCAAGAGGAACGCATTGTCATTTAACGGCACGGAACTGGGCGCCAGGACCGGCCACAGATGAGTACAATTTTAAAGATTGAGCATCTTATAGCTAACGAGCTAACATGGCCGAGGAATCGCCCAATGGCTCAGGCTGGGCTGGGATGCTGTTTCCAAGAGGCGGGTTCTGGCATGATTACTGTCTAATATTCTGCTACATGTTGGGTTTGCATAGACTCAAGTCCGTCAAAGTCTCTCTGCCCGCCCAGGCATCTGAATCTCCCCAACGCTCCAGGAGCCAGTCGTTCCAAGCCTCCGTCTCTCCGAAACGCCCGATGGGCGGGGGCACCCAGGGACCAAAGTCGCGGGGCGAGCCTTGATCCCAGTGAAAGCAGATGGGACCTTTCGGCAAGGACCCCCGCGGCTGGAGAAGACTCTGATTCTTGGAGTTCTTCCAAGTCACTACATGGGAGTAGGAGAAGTCGAGGAGAACAGTGCGGGAGGGGGGACTTGCCAAGTCATCCGGGTCCATGCTGAGCATGACATTCCTCGGGGCAAGGTCATTTTGCATGACACCGATGAATCTGAGCCTACAGTCGGTCTCCAAGATCTGGGCTGTGATGTCTAGGCGGAGAGCCAGGGGTATTTTGAGATATAGGTCGTTCGTCATGAGCGTCTCCATCGACACTCCCTGTACGTCCTCCATGAGAACCAAGCGAGCCGGGTAAGTCAGACCAGTGGACTGGGGCGTGTCCAGCAGGGGGAGGGTAAATGTGAAGGACCCGTGGTACCTCGGGGTGAACTGCCCGTCGAGGCTGGAATTCTGGATCTCTGTGTATGCGGAAGACTCCAGGCTGTAGTCATGGTCGGCAGACCAGGTAACATCACCGGGATATTGATAGTACAATGGGTCGAATATTTTGGCAACATAGGTTTTAGCTCTACATTCATCGAGATAGCACCGCACTACTTGAGGGCCTCGCCCGTCCCTGCAAACGATCTGGCTGAGGATGTGGAAGACGTGTGGCTGCCCATCTGCCGGTGGTGTCTCGATCAGGGGACGCTCCCGCAGGCACCAATCGGTCTGGGGCGACTTCACTCCAGCCCAGAAATCCAAGGAGGTGAACCGCTCCCGGGCCGGCGGCTCAGTGAAATAGCCTGCTCCGAATGGGACGGGGGGCTGGTGGGGACGGATCGTGAAGCTGGCGCCGCTGTGATATGGCAAAGGGGGCCGGCGGGGATCCGGAGGAGTGGGAAGGCTCCCGAGGGGCGGGGCCATGTCTTCCGGATGAAGTAAATGGACGAAGGCAAGAAGCAGATGCGAAACGTTGGCGGAGAGTCGGAAATGAAAGGAAGGTAGATGGAGATGGCGGCGGTGTGGGGAGTGGACGAGTGGATTGCGCGGCGGGAATGGAGACAAGGGAAGAGGGAAGAGGAAAAGCGTTCACAAATCAGCCGGGGTGTTGGCAAGGCCAGCGAATCAAGGTGCTGGTCGGTGTCAAGAGGCTTGTCTAGTTTGAGAAAGGTAAGATCTGTTGAAGCGCCCATTGCCGATAGCCCTGACCTGGTCGAGTTTGAAGTTGTACACAGCATCGAGGAGCTGGTGGTTGTGCATAACTGACCGAGGGCGGGACTGATGCGGGAGGGCAAACACATTCTATGACTTGTGTCTTCTCAGGTGCTAGGTACATTGGCATGTTTGTACGTAGTCTTGTCATTAAAGCTTGCTCCATTGTTAGGATTGAGGGTCACTGAGACCAAGCTGAAGGAGATGGGCGTTGAGGCTGCATGCGATAGAATGGACATGGAGGCGAGCTGTGAGTGGCTCATTCAACTGAACCAGCAGCTCCACCAAACATGGCGACCGGTCAATGATGCTGCCTGGCCAAACTTGCATAAATGAGCTGAACATGCCTAAAATAATATTAGCAGTGGCTGCATCGTGAGACATTTGCCAATAGATCAGCCTGCTGCCTGCGAGAGACGATGCAAATGTGCGGCTGGAGATGCGCACATCTTGGCATCGCATCGATCGATCGGTCTGGGCAGCGCAGAGCTGAGAGAAGAGCTGCATCGACATGGAGCGACAAGAAAAGTGCAGACTGCATGCGGCTACGGCTGCAGCAGGTAGATGCGCGAGCCGGTACATCGCAGCATGACTGGAATTAAGTGCATCGACCAGTATCTATACCTGCATTCACCACGCCATGACCGCTTCGAGGCCGGCTCTGGACAGGTTTTGGTACTCGCAGGTATCAGCTCGGGGCAATGTGCAACCCTCTGCACCAACGATGCTGCGAGATTCCAGCCACCAGCGGCACATCCAGAACATGGCGCATGCAGAAAAAGTGCGCAATCTCATCCCTCTGTCTTAATCGCCCTCTGTTCTCTGTGTTGCAAGCACCGAGGCAAGGGACAGTGCCGTGCTTCTCAAGCAGCAGCAAGACAAGCTGCATGTCTGCGTACTTGATTAATTACACAAAAGGCTGGGAAAATTGCCCGACTTCCATTGCTCTCTCTGGCCTGTGCATCACTGTGGGCGCTCATGGTACAGAGGGTGGATGGATGTCTCACCCGTCGTATCTGCTGCGGGAGTGCCTTATTAGGCTCTCGACTTTGATCCGTCGATCTGATTTGATGGTTTGGGTCAGGCACAATCTGGGCCCGACCTTCTCTGTATCGCCCGACTGCAGCGATACCCCGCGACCGACGACCTGAGCTGCTCCTTCATCTTGCATTCTTCACCATCACCAGCCATCATTTGACGCCTGATACTGAATCACTGCAAAGTCCACGACAACACCAGAGCAGCCACCCGCCGTCCAGCACTCGCCCGCAATGTCGCTCTCCACGCGCCGGCGGAGTCTACGAAGCGCCGCTGCAGCTTCTCCTCTTAGAGCTTCTCCTAGATTTTCTTCTGCCAGCCCTGCTTCTCTTAGAGCCGCTCCTCCCAGGGCTGCTCTTTCCGATTTGAACGCTCTGTCCAGCGATGTCCCCTCAAAGAAACGTCGCCGTGAGCCTGAAGAGTCTGACGATTCTGACGAGCCTGACTCGTCTCAATCTCTCCAAGCCGAGGACGTAATTGTCGTCGATGTGAAGAATCGCCCAATTCGCCGGCTCCCACCTCGCCCACTCCCACCATCGGCAGCTTCGCCAGTTTTCATCAAGAAAGAAGACCAAGATGACGCCTCCTCTCGCCTTGCCACACCATCGAGAAGCTCGCCAGTCAAGAAGCGGGCTCGATTTAGTTCACCTCCAGTCAGCTCTTACACACCGCCAAATGATAAAGGCAAGGCTCGAGATAGTCTCTCGTCCCCTCCAAGAAAGAAGCGGCGTATTCGCCGACTTGGAACACCGATGCCCCGGACACTGGCTGCGTTGTCTGATCGGACCAGAACGGGCAATGAGCCCCGTATCACAGTGCCAGTGTCCGAACCGCCGCGGATGTGGTCCAAGTGCATTCCAGACAAGGAGAAGGGTCTGGCCGAAACAAACTCCGTCAACGAGCTTGTCCAGCAGAAGGCATGGAAGGATACCCTATGCATCGATCCATTGCTGTGGACTAGGGCCCAATGCCGACTTGTTAGTTGTCAATTCAAGCATGACTTAGTTGCGCAGAACCGTGTCTTTCCACCCGGTTGGTGGGCAGCCCCCGGCTTGAGCAACGCAGATGTGTGCAAGATACATGCAGATGTACATGGCCAGCTTAAAACCCTCGACAACAAGTTTAAGACGCTCAAGCAGGTTCTGAACGAGAACGGCTTCGAGGCTTTAGGAGATGAACGTGATATGCCCGAGAACATATTCGTGTCGTCTTATAGGCGCGAGCTATCATTCATCTATCACGACAAGTCATACGCCAAGGTCGCCGCAGACGCCATCTTCACGCATACCACTGGCCACAACCTCGCCTATGTCGACCTCGACTACGCACGCTCCATTCGCAGACAAGCTTTGGGGGCCGCTCCGCCTTCCTTCCGAGCCGGTCAGCACGCCTCTGCCTTTGTCGGTTTGGAGCAGCCGTCTCCTGAGAAGCCGCGCCACGATGCAGAGGACCCATATATTGTAGCACTCTTGATTGCATTGGCTCAAAAGCAGCGCCAAGACGAGGACCGAAGACCGCGACGCCAGCGTAACGCTGCAACCCAGGGCGAGCCACAGACATCCAGACTCCGCACCAAGTCCAAGACGCCGAAGCCCCAGATCAATGACACAGATACTTGCTACACGGTAAGTCGAGTCCTAATATAGTTGGTTTCTACCTCGCTAATTAGATCAAAGGTTACTGTCGTGGCCGTCCCGGAGAAGGCGAAATGCCTGTACTGCTACACCGCCACCTTCCCCATGAAATTCCTACAGAAGCTCTATGAGCCATCTGAATATACGCCCTCCGACTGGGTCACTATTTCCTACTTCAAAGCGCCCATGAGGGAGAAAATCCACCTCGTCCAGATGTTGATCCCTACCATGGAGCTGATCAACTCGGGAAGAGCCAGCATCCCTCCAAGTGAGGGACATCATACCTCACTGTAGGATATGTATTCCGACAGCAGTTCATCGGTATAAGCTACCAAAGCAACCTGATTGTTGCCTTCATTACCTTTGGCGACCAGGTTTTGAGTTCGGTCGCGTCCAACTCAGTGGCCAGTACAAGACACTTGCGGCCAGATATCACTTTTATTTTATTTCTTTCTCATATCACTTTCATTGCATTGCTTTATTTTGGGTCGATAAGTGGCTGAACGCGTTTAAGATGCAGATATTGTTAAAAGCCAGCAACATTTCGTATGACTACTTGAGGCTTTTGATTGACCTTAGAGGGATTATATGCAGGAACCATTGGAACCACTGAGGCCGCCATGGCACACTTGTTTGAGGTTTGACTTTGCCTATGTAGGGCGTCTCAGGCGGAAATGGGTTGGGTTGTTTTCTGAGATTTGTTATTCACCTTGAGGCTTGGGATCTTCAGGTATTGGCGCAGGAATATGGGAAACCAGCAAAGGGCTGGGTGGCTCCTTCAAGTTGTTATTTGTCTGGTTGAACACAGGACCAGCTACGTTGTTATGATGTACTTACTCGAGATTTGTTATTCGTTTTATGGGGGCCTTGGAGGTTGGGAATGTGGAAAGGCACACTATGGGGTTTTGATCTTTCCTTTGGGAATTCGTCCGACATCTCGCCCAGTCGGGAGACCACGGCTCAAGCCAGAGACTGCGTCTGGCCCCCGAGATGACACGCCGTCTTCCCCTTGGAATTTTCTCACGATGTTATGATGACCTTTCCTTTGTATCAGGGAGTTATGATACCTGGCTCTCGATTCGTTCTTTTGGGCATATACCCGAAAGGCCAGTGTACACCTTGCATTTTAATATTCTTTATCCCAACCCTTGATCATCTTTCGTAACGCAATCGGTGCATATGTTCCAAGACATAATCAACCGATCTGCCTCCTCTCATAGCCTTGTATGTGTGCTCATGCTCGGAAACAACCGCGACTGGCGACCAAGTATACTACGATGCAAGAAATCTTTAGTAATTAAGCAGTCACTCAGGGGCTGTTGGAAAAGAACACTCTCGCGTACGAAAACTTTGTGTGAAATTTCAAGCCAGTAAATCTTTATTTCTACTTGAACCAATTCCCATATTAATATACATCTAATTGCCTCTAAGTGTGCCCCCAGCCCGGAATAGTTAATAGTCTATAGTCGAAACAAAAAAAGGAGGCGGGGGGGTCATCAGCCTCGCCAGAGACCAGTTATTACAGGATATCAAACAGGCTTTCCTGGGGCCGAGCTGCCACATCGCAATAGCGCGCGCCTGGACGCTTTCTATTCGAAGTCCTCGGCATCCTCGAGGTAGCGAGCGTAGATGTACTCGAGGAGGTCGCGCTCGTCGAGCTCCTGCTCGTCAATGTCACGCTCCTCGAGGTCCTCATCGAAGTCACGGGCGTAGAGGTCCTCGTCCTCGACGTCGCGGGGGCGGCTGGCTGCCGCGGCGCCGACCTGTCCACCGGCCTGGATGGCGCTGTTCAGCAGCCCGACGGCGTGGCCCAATTTGCGGCCCTTGGGGGCCCGGGTGTCCAGAGAACGGGGAGCACCAGCGTAGGCGGCGCCGACGTGGCCAGCGGCTTGGATGGCAGAGTTTCCGAGTTTGACGGCGTGGCCGAGCTTGCGACCCTTGGGGGATCGGGCCTCGAGGGAACGGGGAGCACCAGCGTAGGCGGCGCCAACCTGGCCAGCGGCTTGGATGGCAGAGTTTCCGAGCCTGGCGGCGTGGCCGAGCTTGCGACCCTTGGGGGATCGGGTGTCCAGAGAACGGGGAGCACCAGCATAGGCGGCACCAACCTGACCAGCGGCTTGGATGGCAGAGTTTCCGAGCCTGGCGGCGTGGCCGAGCTTGCGACCCTTAGGGGACCGGGTGTCCAGAGAACGGGGAGCACCAGCATAGGCGGCACCAACCTGGCCTGCGGCCTGGATAGCAGAGTTTCCGAGCTTGACGGCGTGGCCGAGCTTGCGGCCCTTGGGGCTTCGCTGTTCGAGGCTTCGAGGGCGGCCGGCAGCAGCAGCACCGACCTGTCCGCCTGCATGGATAGCAGTGTTCAGCAGCCCGACGGCGTGGCCCAATTTGCCGCCCTTGGGGGCTCGCTCTTCGATGTCTCGCTCCTCGAGCTCGTCGAGATCACGAGGGCGGCCAGCAGCAGCAGCTCCAACCTGTCCACCGGCCTGGATGGCGCTGTTCAGAAGCCCGACGGCGTGGCCTAGTTTGCGGCCCTTGGGGGATCGCTCCTCGATGTCTCGCTCCTCGAGCTCGTCAAGATCACGAGGGCGGCCTGCAGCAGCAGCTCCAACCTGTCCACCGGCCTGGATGGCGCTGTTCAACAGCCCGACGGCGTGGCCTAATTTGCGGCCCTTGGGGGCTCGGGTGTCCAGGGAGGCGCCAACAGGGGCGGCGAGGGCCAAGTCAGCAACGCTGAGGAGGAGGGCGGAGGCGGCGGAGATGTTCTTGATGGCAACCATTTTTGCGGATTTAATAATAATATGAAAGAATAGGTTATTGAAAAAGAGAATATGAACAAGAAGTAGAAAGAAAGATTGTAAAATTGACCGGCAATTGTAAAGTGGCTTGAAAAAAGGGGTGAAGAAGAATCGAAAAGAGACCAGCTCTGACTTGTTTTTTGTGTTGTTTTTGGGTTGGATGCTTCAAAATTTCTTTCTTCGAGGGAGGGAAACGGCCTCATTATATAGCCTCGTGGTCCATCGTGGATCTGATATTGCTATCACACTGATGCTGTCGTCCAGGCGGCCTCCAGACTCACTGGTCTCACTGGTCTGCTGCGCCCTTTCCGTCTGAGCAATCCCAATTCGCTTGCCCTGCCTTCACGAGTTGCTCTCGAAGTCGATCATCACTGGCTGCCTCCCGAGTGAGCGCCGCTCTCACGCATGGTGATGATTTGAGAGACTCAAAAATAGCAACCGCCTTATCATACCGGTTTCTCGGTTGTTGGCGCCATCATTTCAGTCGTCCCGGGCCCGAACCCTGCCCGAAGCACTCTGGATCTCACACGGTAGGTGATGACAAAACCGCTCCGCGTGCGCTCATATCAAACATAAGCTACCGCGTACCGAGTCCACCACACCTTAATGTCCTCAGCCCTAAGTCTTTCTTTAGCACCATCCGGGCCTGTTTGTCTGCGCCAGGATGCTCTGGGGTCTGGCATACCTGATTGGATGGCGTCGACGGCCCGGTCCCATGTCTGGATGGCCCACATTCCGTAAGTACTTTGTCATGCCTTATGCTGTTGGTCGTGGTCGAGACTAAAGTTCTTCCCCCTTCCTGCAATGCCTCCAGGACTGCCGCGATGGTGCAATTATCTCCGGCCCCCCCCAGGAGATCTTGCCCCAATCTGTGCTGGAAACAATATATATTTGTCCGGCTACGCCTCGAGCGTACGGTTCTAATACCGCAGCCCGCCTCCCCCCATGTCAGCAGGGAGGCTTCGCCCCCCCACTTTCCTTCGCACGAGGTGGCTGCATTTAGAGTCTGCTTATGGTAACCTCATGCCTATTGTGGCTATGGGGTATTGGATGCCTCTTCGACCTCTGGAATTGTCTGCTTCCTCGCTTCGTGGCCTGCGGCGTGGGAAATCCTTCACTCGTACCTGCAGCGTTTGATTGCCCAAACGTCGGTTTTGGGTGCCACCGGCGACATTTTGAGTCGAACCAAAGTCCCCGTGATCAATAACGTGGCATCCATCCCGACTGTTGGCGCATGCAGCCACTTCTTAAAACGCCTTTCCCGTGTCTTGATTGAGCCAAGTGTCTAGCCCCCACTGACCATCGTGCGTCACATTCACTCGTGAGACGGACAAAGAAGAGGAGGAGAGTTATTGTTCCTTCTGGCTGGTTCCCACATGGCATGTCTCATATGTGACAGATGCGGTGGCTCAAAATCCTCTCGTTGTTTAGCTCGGCCCTCTGAAGCAACCCGTGTAATGTTGTGCCGCTCTTTCACGTAACTGCTGCAACCTCGACCATGTCGGAGTGTTCAACACGTGTATTTGCCACTTGCTCGTCGATCCTTGGAGGCTCCTGGCGCGATTCAGAGTGCTTGGCAGAAAGAAGCACACAGTCACCCTCGCTTTGTGAGCAGCTTCTTGTCCCTAGGGCGCCGGGAGAGCATAGGGGTTGTCATCTTGTGAGATTATCGCAGTCTTTGGTGAGAGACCACTGGCTTCGCCTAGTCTCTTGTGGATGGTAGGGCTATATTGGGACCCAATCAAATCGTATGGGGCGTAAGATGTCGAACTAAGTGACGGAGCGCGGCGTAGCTTGCAGCTTACGGCGAGTGTGGGAAATCATGGTGATTGCACTCAACCAGCTTGCCGCCATGAGAGTACGGGCATGAGGCTCATTATCCGTGGTGTTATCGTCGGCACTTTGGTCAAAGGTAAGCGAACAACAGGAGTTCTGGAATAATTCTAGCCTTGAAGCTGACAGCTCTTTGGGCTCTTTCGGGGCTAGAGACGTAGAACGAGAACTTTAAACCCGTCTTCTCTCGACTAGGATCCCAGAAAGAAGCCCGTGATGTGTGTAGAAGCAAAAGGAGATGCTGCTCAAGAGGTACTTCTCAACGGGGAGTTGAAAGCATAGAGCTCTATTCAATTATTACGAAGCCATTTGTTGCGCGTTGGGAAAACGGCGATGAGCTCGGCCGAAATTTGTAACCCTATGGTGGCTGTGGTGTCCACGGGGAACCAACTCCATGGTTTATCCCGGAGCCAAAGTGATACGGTTGGTATTGACGAGTGTCGACATCGAAAGGATCCTCAGAGCAGTTGGTTAGCCCTCGAGCTACTGCCCACTGAGCAAAAGTGAAGCCCATGGGACGGAGGGCAACCTATGAACGGCCATCCTCCTCCTGAACAGGTTTATGGCGCATGGAATTGCTCCCCAATGAACCATTCTACGCTCGTAGCCATGTCGGGTAGTATTACAGCATCGACCGGAGTTCGTTCGTCTGCATTAAACAAGCGGCGGCAACGAAATGTCTTCGCGGAAAAGGGGCGCCCGTTATCGTTTGTAGAGCAGTTTTGCGTGCGGCATTGGCAAGTCTCGCCGTAGGGTTTCGAATCCTCACTACCGTGCAGACATGTCGGCAATCTAGCTGACAATCTGCCCCTGGTATGCGTTTGAATTACACCAAAGATGTTTCTCCGTCGACCAACACGAATCAGGGTATGGACACTCGGGATGTCGAGGTATGTGTTCGAAATCGGCTGCGACTGTAGGCGTATGCTCGTGGGACGAGATGTTGCTATGCCCGCCCTGTGCATGTCCAAGATGTTAGCCTCTGATAGATCAAATCTCTGCACAGTAGTAAACACGCGGTGCAGACCTCTGGAAGTGCCCCTTGCATCACCGCACCCTATCGCGATGGACGGCGTGGCGAGACGAATTGGTGTGACTGGCAAAGGTGACGGCCAGTTGAGGCTTTCTACCAACTCAGTTCCCCTTTGAGTTGATAATAGGTGAGGTAGGTACAAGATTTGATATACCATTGCAACCTGATCTATTCACTTGTGCTGTATTAGATGTAGTCTTTAGCATTAGGGTAGGCACAGAGAGCACTGCCGGACGAGGCTCCCAACAAACAGCAGGTGATGAGCTCAGCTACCTGCACCTGTGCATATTGACCAGTAAGCGAGCCGCACCCACCCCTGCCAGCTGGTACCCACGAAGCGGCCTCCTCATTACAGGTGTGCCCCGGTAGCCATGTCTCAGGCACTCTAATAAAACCAAAGACCATTATTAGCTTAATAAGTCTAACGTTGAAATGTGTCGTGGGCGCCGAAAACTGCTGTGTGGCAAAAGCAAAGCAGGGTATTGACTGGGGAAAAGCGTGGGGCAGCTGAGAGTGATCGAGATGCATCTAGATCAAATACCTGTAGCGCTGACTTACCTGAATAATCCGTATCTACATAACGGCGAGTGGAAAGCAAGATTATATCGCAGCTTCTGCAGCTCTACTGCGTTAACCAGGGATGAAACGATCCATCAGACATCTGGTCAGCTCAGCTGTAGCCGTCTGCTCATACCAGACCCAGATTCACCATTCATCCTCCCTGCCAATGTCCACTTAACTGAATCTTGTTTTCTAGAGTTGGAGTTTCGTATCATCAGCGCACATCCATCGTTGTGTGGTATGAGCTGCGTTGTAGTAGATGGGCATATTAAGTAGCAATTAAATACCAGCAATCCCAAATTATCTATCTTTTGCTTCCTGTACCGTACTCTTCCATAATGGCTCCTGGAATAACATGCGTGATAACTTATGGTCTGATTGGACTACTCCTTTCTGGTGTTATCCTCTGGGCTCTTGTTCGTCCTTGCTGCTATCTGAGCTGAAACCTGATGGCAATCTCTGAGAAGCAGGTTTGTATGCTTGCACCTGGAATTTTATTGACATCCAATAGGCTAATTGACCCGTCTTCATAGTAGCTCTACTCCTTTCACATTTGTAACTGAATGTTGCGGAAGAGAGAAAAATGCACTCCAGTGGCACCCCCCGTTTTTGAATCGTTGAGAGGGTGTTGTCTTGTTATTGCAGACATACTGCCTTTCTGATCATGTTAAACCGTTCTCATCGAATGACTGTATAATGGTTATGTCACCAACCAAGGCTTGGGTCAGGAACTCGGATGGAACAAGCGTGTTTTTAGTCTTGATCTCACCTAGCAGAGGCCAATCTAGTAGCAAGGAGGTGATAAGATACATAGGACAAGATTTATTGGCATATGGTAGACGATATCACAATACTGCAAGGGAATGCTGGCTACTCTTGCATTTGTGGCATCATCCCGGCAAGCATTGACTCCTGTGGCGAACTTGATTCGTAACCTACCCATTCAGGTTATTCTAGACATTAGAGCATGTCACCGCAGGCCCCGGAGGACGATGTCAATTAGATAATGTGTGGCTGCACGCTATCAGCGCTTCGAGGTGGCATACCTCGTAGTTGCCCCGCTTGCATCCCAGAAACTTGGATATGGAGCACGCTACCTCAGCTGGACAAGGATTTGCGGATATCCAAGATCGGAAACAACCCAAAATAAGTTTAGATTAAGCAAATGCTAAGCTTAACCCGAGTTTTTGGATTTCTTCCGTGTCGGTATAGGCAGGGTGCGCAACGGTATGAAGTGAAGCTATGACGTGGAAGTGCACAGATGGGCTGTGTATCGACGTATATCTACCTGTTGGAGCGGAGGCGGGTAACAACTCTGTCTTGAATACTCTGTTCAAGCCAATTGTTTAATTAATATCCAAGGGCGCCCGAACGACACACCCGAGAGTCAGTTTGTTTAGCCTGGCCAAAGATGCGGGTTCACGGGTTCGACGACTGCCTCACACAGCTCATCGCAAGTTTAGCAGAGGCTGTCGGTAGAAGATGGAACATGGCGTTGCTCCGGCAGAGGCCACTTGCTCGTGGCTAGCGTTGACCCTTTGCCGACTTTCCCACATTCATATGTAACCTAGAGCACGTTCACAAGAAGGGAGACGTGGAGGTGGTTGGCTAGGTGCATACAGGAGGGAACGACATTGCGACGGTGAATGGAACCAGTGGTCTAAGTGTCAGGATCGCCGGGCGCGAGTTCTTCTCACAGTCTTTGAAAAGAGTGCCTCACGGCAGACAGTGCGGGACTTTGGCATCTTATTTATCTCGGTAGTACCTAGTGAAAAACAGGGTTTATGGTGATGGCGCAATAAATGCTCCCAGGCTACTATGGAGCATGTAGTATGCGCATATCAATTGGGCCGACCAATTCAATGAACGCCTGGTCGTGCTGTTGATGATGCGCATGCTCCGTGGCTGCAGGCAAAAATTCTCAGGCGCCTCGGTATTCACCACCGAGCTGGGTCTTACAGCAACTTATCCCCAACGTGCATCTTTAATTAATGTTATGCAATAGCTACGGCTCTTCTATCAAACTACAATCATGATAATATTTGTCGCTTTGATCCAAACAATACTAGGAAAGCGCTCGTTCCTGTTCCGTCGTGTGGAAGACCCAACAGGGCAAGCACCGACCCTGGTCGACGAGGTGGTCCCGCGCTGTCGTGCAGGCTTCGGGCTGTGGGGGAGCACCTGCCGGGGACGGCGGACGCCCTTGTCGCGATCTCGTCGCTCCTTCCCGGAGATCTCTAAATGAATTAGATTCGATCAAATGCCATTCGGCTCATGGCCAAACCAATTTGATCAACCTACCTCAATCAACCCATGCGCATGTGCTCGGTAATTGTCTCACATTCATAATAGGACACCTCCGAGGCGTCATGCAACCCTTTACAAAGAAAACGACTTGTCATTCTGGGTTTTGCTATCTCCTTTTATCTCCTACATGCCTTCAACAATTGACGCAACGACCTCGTCCTCGTGCGAGAGCATGCACTCCTCATACGAGAACCACCAGTGCCAAGTTCCGCGCCACGGCACAAAGTAACGTCCAGTCTCCTCGCTCTCCAGACAATGAACAGTCTCCTCCGGGTCCACAGTGCGAAGCTCAGCTACAGTCTTTCTCTTTGTATCTTCCGCCTCCAACACCTGATACACAACCCCTCGAGTGCCTTTGGTCTCAATCTGTGGCTGCAGACGATCAAAGCGGACTTCACCCACCGTTCGCTCGCGGCCGTCCTCATACAAGAACAGCAGACCGATGACGACATCGTGCATTTCGCAGATGCTCATGGCCACAACCCCAGTCAGCTTGACTGATGAATACCAGAGCTCATGCATGCACTCGGGGTATTCGACGGGGGGGAGGATGGTCGGAGGGGTCCCTTGCTGCGTTGGACGAGGGGTCGGGAACGCCATTCTCGTAAGGCCGGACCACGATTCTTCGGCCATGAGAGTGCGCTCTGCTTCCATTCGATCTTGAAGAACCCACGTGCGGACGGCATCACTCGGTTTTGGTCGGACTCCCAGTGTCAAAGTCCGGCCGTGGCTTGTCGTCAACTGCGCCTCGTTAGCGGTAGATCTCTGCGATGCCATTGGGGTTTCTTACAACCAACAGCGTGCTGGTCGCTGCATCTGTTTTCCAGAGTTCAACAATCGTCTCGCCCTGATCGACAGGCAGATACGCCCAGATGGTCTTGGGGCGATCAATATCCCAGGCTTTATAATAAGGCTCGCCGTCAGCGTACTGAGGACATATGGCCATGAGCTCATAGAACCAGCAGATGCTATATCCGCGGACGTCCGGCTTGTTCAAGTGCAGATACTTCATTGGAACCTGGGTTCTGCGCTCGTCGAGAGACCAGACCCTCAGGTTGTTGGGCTGCGGCTGGGGCACTGGCCAAAGAGTACCCCACAGGGCGTCGTCGATTCCGTGGTAGAGTATGCGGCGGAGTTTGAGCCCCTGCCTACCAGTTAGTATGACACTATGCATTGCAAGGTGAATCATTCGTCGGTGTCAACCTACGTCTCTCTCGCACTGGATGCGAGTCAGTCCACTGAGCGGAAGGCTCACCCAGCCGCCGATGCTGGTGTCTACTGGATAGTTTGAAGGATCGACTTTGTTGTCAGCAGCAAACACAACTTTTCGAACTCCGAGATGATCAATAGCTATGTGGATGGCGGCCAGAGGTCCCTCTGGCATCCGGATCTTCACCATGTCCTTGGGTCCGGCTCCGGTATCGTCAGTGACAGGAGGCTCGTTTGTCAGAGCCGAGATGTACAAGCGGCCCTCGAATGGGACGTACTGTGCCCAGATGGGCCTTGCGAGAGAAAGCGGCGTGAGGCCATTGGGACCACCATTAGCCGACAGTATGTATACTGTGGTGAGCTTGGACAAGCCAAAGGTCACGATGTGGTGTCTCATTTCATCTGGCATACCGTACAAAGCGTCTGACGGCTGGGAAAACTTGTTCTTCAACCAAGAAAGCCGACGTTCAAACTCTAGTGGCAAGGGAATGTAAGTGTAAGCTGTGTGATATAGGAGTTTGCGGAGAGTTTCAGAGCTAATTCCTCTCAAACAGTCTTCATGGAAGGTTTCGTCAATGGGAATGTCGTCCCAGCGCGTAGCGGAATATTGGACCGCATTGTTGTCGTCGTCGTTGTTGTTGTTGTTATCGTTGTCGTTGTCGTTATTATTGTTGTTGTCGTTGTTGTCGTCGTTGTCGTTGTCGTCGTTGTCGTCGTTGTCGTTGTCGTCGTTGTCGTCGTTGTCGTCGTTGTCGTCGTTGTCGTTGTCGTCGGTGGTGTTGTTGTTGTTGTTGTCGTCGTCGTCGTCCGTCTTTTCAGGCTCAGGATGTTTCAGCTGGGGGCCAGGGTATACGAATCTGAATATACCCATATCGTCGGGGCCCAACCATGCTGCCACGAGTTAGAGAAGATCAATGCAGAGGGAAGCTGTCAAACGAACGGATTGCCACCTCTTCATCCTTCTCGTACTCCACTCGACAGAGTGTACACCAGGGTCGTCCGCTCAGAGTCGCCATTTTCAGATGGCGAGAGAAGCTGCCTTGGGCAGCAAAGAGATGTATTACAATTTCGATGATACTTCTGATGGAAGACACTTTGGATGAAGATGCTAGAAGTCAGAGGAGAGAAACGCTCGAAGAGGGGAATGTGCCAAAGAAAATAAAGCCACGACGTGCAGGAAAGGTGTGCCAGCTATCAGGTTGGCTCTCAGACCAATGTGTCGTTTCATTCGAGCACCGCTGGTGAATATTGCCAACCCACCTGCCGGCCGTCTGCACGTTCACAACTGCAGCTCAACATCGATCCGGCAACATCAAACTCTATGACGGGATGCAACGCTGGATGGATGCATACACACTCCCTTGGCCATTGTCGATCATCTTTCTTGCATCTGCGTTTCGACATGGTCCCCATCTCGTTCTCGCCGGCTCTAAACTGCCTTTGGTATAAGTCTCGGGAAATTTCAGCTGCCTAGTTGTCGGCACTGTCTCAGCAGCATTGACGCCGCCAGAACTGCGACGATAGGTGTGCCGGCTCTCGGCCACTTGCATAGATCTCTCCCCGATGCATGGGACCCAGTGGAGCTTGCAGCAGCGTAGCTGCACTTCACCAGCCCAAGGTTTACGTACAAGACGATTTCCGGTGGAACTTTTGACCGCACGCCAACCAGATCGCCTCGCCAGCTGCAATATTACCCCATCCACGCTGCAGAGTCCCGCGTCTAGGCCTGGAAGTGCATCCAGTCACCCTCTCTTCGCCTGCAAGGATCCGTTAGGGGGCCCGACTGTCTCAGTTGTTTTCTCAAGCAAGATGACTCGCAGGAGAGGCAGAACTAAGCATTCCGGTGGCAACATTCTGCAGCTTACTCCATGGTCAGAAACCGGGCAGGAAAGGCCAAGATAACCGTGCATGGAAAGTGTATATTGTGTCATGGACTACAGTACGGGACGGGTTTTCATCTGATCGACCAGCCGAACGTCGGTAGTACGACTGCCAAGCGAGCGCAGATGGTACACACCATCCAGACACTGAGTTCGTACCAAGGCCGTTATAGCGCCGGTGTGTGGCAGTTGGACCATTGAGACTGCTGGTGTCTTGGGTGCTCATAACTTCCCGGTGCCTGGTAATACCAGACCACCTAGCGCTGGTGATCGTGCTGGCGCTAAGGAGAGCTTGTGCAACGTAGGGCTGAGGGCTAGGGGATGGGTGCTGTGGAGTCTCCTGGATCACAAGGTGGCCAAGGTGCACTGATGTGGTGCAGGGCTTGAAAGCGGGCGCTGGGCTCAGGCTGTGCAACTGCCGGCTGGGCTGGTTCTAGGGCGGTATGCAACAAAAAACACTGCAATGTTGCCAGGTCGGCCCTACCACCCCCTTATATTACTTATAAAGCGCTTATAATAATATATTATAATTTAAGCCCTATCTTTAATATATAATAATATAATAATCTTATAAGATATTTGAATTTTCTTTATAATTAATTAAATCTTAATTAATCTAGGTATTAGATACTTTTTTTACTAAATAAATTAATTATTTCTAATAGTAGTAGTCTAATTATAATCTATATACTTAATTATTATCTAGTTAAACTTAGCTTTAACTAATTAGACTAAAGAGCTAATCTAACTTCTTTCTATAAAGAGATATTAGAGTAATATTTTTAAGGTAATATAATTAAAGCTATTTATATTAATATTAATAACTATCTTTAGAAATAGTATTTTCTAATAGTATTAATATATATATTCTATAACTAACTTTAAGAGTAGTATTTAGATATATAATATTATACTCTAGTAACTATAGAAGAACTTATTAAATATTTAAAATATCTATTTTTTACTTTTAGATACTCTAATAATTCCTTTCTTTATAATCTCTAAAGAGAAAGCTTTCTTATATATTCTTTTCTTATTTAAAAAATCTATTTCTAAAAAAATCTTAAATATTAGCTTTAGATAAAGAAAGAATAGCTAGTTAGCTTTTAGTATATACTAGATTTCCTATAAAATAATTTTAAAAAAATTAGTATAATTCTAAACCTTAGAAAAGAGCTTCTTTATATCTATATATATTAATAGGATAAGATTCTTATATTATAATACTAACTTTATTCTACTTATTTAGCTATTTTCCCTAAGAAAGTTATTAGCTAGTATAATATATATCTAAGATATTACTATAACTTCTATATACTAGGATCTAACTTTATATAATCTCTTAATAACTATAAGAAATTAAAAAAGTTTAGATTTTAAATATATACTTATATTAATATATACTTAAAATATATAATTTAGTTCTATATTAGCTAGTTAGTAATAATCTTAATAAGTATATTAAAGTAGTTTCTTTAGACTATTAAGTAACTATAAATATAGCTCTTTTTTACCTACTCTAATTATAATACTAAGATCTCTTTATAAATAGTAATCTAAGCTACCCTTATAAAGATAGGGTCTAAGAAGCTTAGATTTATTAATAAGAATAGAACTAAATATTATTATAAATAAGAAGATTATCTAAATAGCTACTATATATATAATCTAAATAAAAGAAATATTAAAATTAAATTTTAATAGTAATAGTTTTATTAGAGTATAATAAATTACTAGATTATATTCTTTAATAAACTAGCTAGATATATACTTTTCAGAGAGAATAATAAAATAAACTAAATAGTAATCTATATTATCTATAGTTCTATTATTTAGAATAAGTTAGCTTAATTTATAATACTATAGAATAACTATAGGATTTATAATTAGAAGAACTACTCTTATATTATATCTAGTATTCCTTAGAACCTCTATTATATAATAAATACTTCTAATTAGAATATTTCTCTTAATAATAATAAGAGGACTCTAGATTAATAAGCTCTTAATAATATATATAAGTCTTTTACTAAGATAGATATAGAATCTCTTCTGTTTAAATTTATAATAAACTAGTATTAGAAGAGGCTAATAGAGATAGGATTTAATAGGTATATTAACCTATAAAATAACTCTAAAAAACTATTTATTAGGGAATATCTATTACTATATAATCTTATTAAGATATATAAAGAAGTAGAGCTATAGTTAGTATTAGATTTTATATTAATTTATAAGAGTAATATAAAGAAATATAAATATCTATTTTAATATAATTATACTATACTCTTTATTCTCTCTAGTAATATTATTCTATAAGATATCTAAAAATAGATATAAGATCTAGATATAGAAGAAGAAAAGAATTAAGAAAATATATCTTATAATTTTTTCTAATTATAATTTATATAGTTATTTATAAGTATTATTAGTAGGGGTTTACTACTATATTATAATAATATATTATAATATATTTTTAATTTAGATATTATATATAGTACTATATAATATAGCTATATAATATAACTAGATATTCTTATAATTTTACTATATTTTTAAACTACTTTTATAATATTACTTTAAATAGTATAAATATAAAATTTTTATACTAAATTAAGTAGATTTAGAGCTATTAAATACTATATCTCCTGATATTTTTAGATAAGATTTAGAGTAATTATTATAGGATAAGTCTTATAGTAATAGATATATATAATTATAATCTATTTACTAGTCTTATTATAACTAGCCTTATAATAACTTATAATTTCCCTTCTTTTATAATAGAAAATAATATACTTCCTTTAGTATTATAATACCTCTTCTAATATTATAACTACTTAACTTCTAGTTTCTTATTATATTATAATTAGTAATCCTTTTCTTTATCCTTATATAATAAACTTAATTTTAACTAACTATTTAAAGTACCTAATAAAAGCTTAGTACTTAGAGATTTAAAAATACTTTATTCTTTTAAATTATTACTCTTAGTATAACTAGCCTTAGCTAGTAGTTTTTAATCTTAAAGTAATAAATATAAATCTATAGTAGTAGCTAAATAATTACTTATCTTTATCTTAAAGGGGTTTTTCTTCTTAGAGAGGCTTATCTTTATTAGAGCTTAGATTAAATATTCTATATAATATACTAATTTCTCAGTTTAATAGATTATTACTATTATTAAGAGGGTTAATACTAGCTTTACTATATAATAAAGTATTTAATATAATTACTAACTATATTAGAGAGACTATAGCTTTAATATAAACCTCTAAAGAAGAGTTATCTCTTTAAGATCTATATAGCCTATAGCTATAGATTAAGCCTCTTTATATAGAGAGCTTTATTAATAATATACTTAGTTTCTTTAAGACTATAAAGACTATATTACTAGGTTTATCTTATTTCTTATTTTTTCTACCTTTAGCTTCTAGCTAATAATTCCTAGATAATATAGATATCCTTATAATCCTATAACTTAAAACTAAAGATCTTAATAGATATAATCTTATTAATAATTATATTTCTTACTTCTTTTCTACTAAGGGCTTTAATATAATACTTATATAATTTAGTATAAATTAGGTAAAGGGTCTAAGAGCTAAAGTAGATATATTTACCTATATTATATTAGAGCCTAGGTAATTTTATAGTTATATATTTAATAAGATTTATACCTTTAGTTAGCTATTTAAAGAGAAGAGGGTTATCTTATTTATTAAATTTTATAAGATAATATAAGAGCTTATATAAGTTAAAAAGCCTCTATATAAATAGAAGTAGCTATTAATAAAAGAGAAATAGCTATTAGAGATAAATTTTAAAGTCTTTTTATTAATATAGCCTCTCCCTAATAGTAATAAAGAGAAGGAAATATAGATTATTATAGAGTAGCTATAAGAGTTCTTTATTAAGGAGCAGCTATAAGAGGCCTCTATTAAAGAGCAGCTATAAGTAGCCTCTATTAAAGAGCAGCTATAAGAGGCCGGGGATACTATTAAGTCTGAAGAAGAGGCTGATATAGTAGTATATAGTAATTCAGAACCTTCTAATAAGAGGTAAAGAATATATATAAATAATAGTAATAATTATACAGAAGGCTACTCTTTTTCCCAGGCAGGCTAGATAAGAAAGACCTCTATAAAGGTATAGAATAGCTAGTTAAAAGTTATAAATTTAAATATTAAAAAATACTCCTATTTAGTATAATACTTAGTATCTCTTAAACCTTAAAAATTATAGAAATAAAATATATATAGATTACTATAATTTTTATTATTTCTAGTTTCTTAATCCTGAAATTTATAGTATAGAGTAAAATAGCAATATTGCAGTATTTTTTGCTATATACCCCCCTAGGTTCGCCCATGGTTCGCCCACGACATTTGCCCTGGAGCCGTGAGACCCGAGTCAGGGGGAATGAGACTGAGGCCAGATGGCAAGCATCGCACCAGGGAAAAAAACCGCAGAAAGGTCAGTTCGCTGTCCGGCCAAGCTTCTCGCTTGCAAGCTTGGACTCCTAAGCTTAAATCCCAGCTCGCGATAGCTCGATCGGCAGCTCCCGCCCGCGATCGTTGAAACTCTCCGCTGAGGCGATCGTCGACACTAGGCAGTTTCGGCCAGCTGCCGGGCCAAGATGCCTATTTGGAGAATGCACACAGCCTACCCTTAGTGGAACTCGATACTGGTGCTGTCGTGTGCCAACCACCCATCCACAGATTATGGTGCTCCCCAAGTCCCGTCCTCTCGCTGGCACACCAACAGACCAGCGTATCCTGGCTTCCCCATCACCCTGCTTCTGTGTCCGTCTTACCACACACACTATTCGGGAATTAGTAATAAATCAATAGTCATACGAACGGCTGGTTCTGACGCATAATATGCATATTGTCAAGTCTATGAATTCATCTCCTGGAGCTGGAGAGGCGCTTCCAGCTCAGCAAGACGCTCCGGTAATTGGCGAGGCAGCAAGCCTACACCCTTTGCAAAGCTGCTCATCTCGGCTCCACCGGGACATCCAAGAGCATGTGCATCCTTGGCAGCCATTCCTGACATTGGAATGCCGCCGGCCTCAGTTTCCCACCCCGTAACTAAATTGTGGGTTTCCCTGGTGGCCAACTCTGCCTTGGGAGTGCCATTAGCATCTGACCGACCACAAGAAAATCCATGCGCCCCAACATCGGTGCCCACCTCCTCAACAGCCGATGGCCGCCAGCGGCGTTGCCAGAACCAGAGCCCTGCGAGGACGAGCAAGACGATTGCAACACCCCCGAACACTCCGCCCGCAATTGCAGCAACTGATGGGCTACGCGAGCTGCCTATGTCTGGCGAAAGCGTCGAGTTGTTAGAAATGAAGCTCCCATCAGCTGTTACATTATTAGCGGTTTGTATCGTATGTTGCCAAGATCCACATACCTCTGAGAAACAGATTTTTGACCGTATCATTGAACCACCCGACACGGTTCATACCTCTGATTCCGAGTTAGATTCTTCCAAAGATGAGCAGTGTCGGAAATACTTACCCGTTGTCATAAAAGGCCTTCACAAGATTCGGCGAATCATAATCCCCGGCATTCGCCTCGTAACGATCCTTCCATTGCAAGGTAGACAGATCGAAAACCCCAATCCCCGCGTACCATTCATCAACCGGTTTGAAGCCCCCCTTGGGTCCCAGACCGCCTACCGATATCATTTGTCTCTTCCCAGCTAGAGCGCACCCATGCCCATAACGCGGAGGCCCAGTCCTGTTCGTTTGTACCCACTGGAAGCCTGGAATAGTGAGAACCCAAATGTCACTTTGGGCGTCGTCTCCAATGGCTCCCCCGTACATGAAGCTTGCTCTTCATTAGCCAAGGGAAGTGATGGTGCTCGTATTCGTACTTACATCTCATATGTGCCGTTGTTCCCATGAGCACCAATGGCACAAGAGTACTTTCTTGGCAGCGGCGGGCCACCCGTTGTCCTCTGTTCATACCACTGTCTCTTGACTGGGTCGAGAATTGTGACATGCTGAAAGCTCCTGAGGTTGGAGATTCGGTTGTTGCTCGTCACTGACTCTCCCCCGAGCAGGAAAACTAAAGGATTCCCCCCAAACCTTGACGTGCACACAGGCGGCGTTCCCACCTTGTGCAGCCCCTCTGGTTGAAAAGCTTCACGGCTCGAAGAGTTTGTCCACTCTCGAGAGTCCATGTTGTATATCAATGTACCGGGAACTGCCCGCGTCTTCCTGTTGTATTCCGTTGCCGGGTCTGTGATGCCTCCGATGTAAAGGCCGAGCCCATCGCACGATACCGAAGCGGCGTCTCGTGTCCGGATGATCGCGTTGAAACCCTCGGGATTCCTAGGCGTAGTTGCGGTCCAGCCGCCATCCCCATCACTGCCTGTTTCCAGTTTCCAAAGTGTTTTCGGTTCGTCCTTCCCCACGAGTTGGCGGAGTTGGCGCCTCCCAGCCCAGCGATAGATGGCACCGCCGTCCCGTTCGTCAGCCCAGAGACCAGAGTGGTCGACTGTAGGCATTCCGATTGCATGTTGTATCTCTTTCAGCTCCAACGTTCTGTTCGTCCAGTCGACATCCAGCGGGATGTAGAGAGTAGTGTTTACTACCAGTCATGATTAGAGCCTAAAACGGGGCAGAATGGGTTCCTTTTGAGCCACGCACCAGGATCGTATTCTCTCTCTGAAGTCGCTTCTCCGTCACGATACGTGGAGATCTTTCCACCCTCGACGTAGAGATGGTTCCGCAGTACCGCCACTAGACACACGCTGTTAGCTCAGATCGGATTCCCTCGAAGAGAGCAGTGCTGTACCTGAATGATACGCCCGGCGTTTGAACTTATCAGGTACAAGCGCATTGGCATTTGCCACCTTGGCGACTGCCTGCCCAAGCAACGACCAGGCGAGTAGATAGGCAAATATGAGAGGTCCTTCCATGGCGCAAAGCTCCCAATCATGCAAGTGAACTTCTGTAGTTGCAGCTTTCCTGAGAGAAGAAGAAGATGCTGACCTGTGTTTTGTTTTTTCCCTTGCCGCAAGCAAGGGCCCAAGACCACCCTGCACCCGGCTTGTATTACTCTTGGTTTCAACGCAAATTGCGGTCATGCCCGCACGTAGCACACACAAAAGCAAAATCAAAGTAGGAGATGATCATGGACTGGCAACAGAGAGGAGCAAGAGACGGAAATAGAACAAAATGAATATATCCCAAACTCGAGCGAGATATGATACCCAGCGCCTGACAGGGTAATGAGGCTCTCTGCTAAAGATGTATTCAGCTTCCAAGGACCTTGGTCTTCCATGGTTGCCAGACGCCATGAAACTAGGCAGGTAGACGTAAGGCTTCATTGCCGATGGGGCCAAGATCCAGATCTAATGATCTGGAAGTGTTCTCTTTAGCTTGACAAGTGGGCGGCATTATTTTCGAGCCTACGACCGGTATCACTGAATCACCAAGTCCTGATACTACACACATCAAGAGATAACACAGCGTATATGTTTTCTCTTGATACCATTAAAGTCTTCACCCATCGTAAAATTGAGAGTCTGTTAATCATCACTCTTCAATTGGTGTCCCACTTCTCCAACCACCCGCTTGCATGGGAGCTTGTAGGTACGGGAGGCATTGGGAATTAACCAACCGGTGAGCAAGTGCTCCGATGTGATCTTCAGCGTGAATCTTTCCACTAGAATAGCTAGAATAATATTTGGATGTGACCTTTGGAGGCCAATTTCAATTCCAAGTTGGCGGTCTTAGCGCTCGTATCGCACGTCTCGGTTCTTCCCTCGGCTCGCAGAGCGTTGGCGAGAGGGCAGCTGAGGTAGGAACGGCGGCTCCTTCCCAACTTTCAAATGACCTACACCAGCACACCTTCCCGATGTAATTTGTAGGTAGTCAGGCTGCTGCCTGGCCGCGAAACCCCGACAAGAACTTAGCAATTCCATCCTTCAAACCATCCATGCATCAACCGTGGGGTCCATGATGAACTGCAACGCCTCTCTTACCTTCGATCAAACCCAGCCTCCAGGCGGCCGAGCCGTATGATTCGAGCCCAGATATCGCACCAAGTCACCACCTGCCAGTACAACAGGATGGCCGAGCATCACGTACGTGTCTTCAATCATCGCAATATCCAAGTATCATTCTCCCTAGAGTCAAACACTATCTGATAACTAAGAAATCGCCAAGCAGGGTCGTTAATCATTATCCTCGTCCACCCGAAACTAAATCCGCACCTCGACCACTTCATCCGACAGACGAATCAGTCGTTCCATACCCAGCTCCAAATGGTCAGTTTCCTCAAGCCTGTTACCTTTACCCAGTACATTTCTGGATACTTTCATCATTGGTGAGAGCTATGACGATATGTTTTCCATGGAGTATCCCCGACTAACAAGCCAGGTCCGGCTACCCTCGCGAGCTTTCGTCATTGGTTGAAATATGCTCCTCCAATACACCTTGAACAATTCGCCAGCCGTTATTGTTCATGCAGGTTCCATCAACAGACTGGCGCTAAGCCAGTGTCTTCAGGTTGTGACTCGCCAGATTTGCGACTCGCCATGGACCGTACCAGCAGAGACGTGTTCTCCCTCTTCTTCTCTGCTGTTGTTCTTTGTCCGGCCTCTTTTGTCTTCGTCTCCCCCCTCCTCCTCCTTTTTTTAGGTGCTTTTTCTCTTCTTTATTTTTTTTGTTCCTTTTTTGTTTTCAATTTTTTTTTCTCCGTTATGAATCGACCAATTACCCTCTCTCTCCAAGATGACCGTTGAATTTGAGACTAAAGTGACGTCTTCTTTGGATTCCCTTCTGCAAGCATGACAGGCGGTGCTTGAAGCTCCGAAAATTTCACCGCTCTTCGGCGGTTACGTACTCAGAGTCCGAAAAACGTTTCTCTTCGATCACTTCTCCGAGGGTTGACAGCTCATCCTCCGACTCTTCTTCACTCGTGAGGCCCTCGTCCTCTGCCATACCTTCACAAGAGTCCAGCAACATCTGCGTCTCACGGCACGTTTGGGCATGCGTCCAAAATCCATCAATCAAATAGACACGATCCCGAGCAAGAAATTTTGCAACCGTCTTGTTATTTTCATAGGCTAGCCAACAACCTTTACAGGTACGGCCGCGGACTGCCACTTCCGTCGTGGGATCGTAGCACGGGAGTATGCACGACGCTAGAAGCCGCTCTACCGCCGGCTCCGGTTCAGCATGGTCGACGTCTTCAAGGTGAAGATGGGTTGTCATCTCTTGATTTGCATCCGCGAATTCGAGCTCTACTGCCGGTATTGACAACTCCTCATCCCCAGCTCCATCGAGGGGCTCCAGATCCTCAGGCTCGAAATCCTCGTTGATGCTCTCGTCGTCCAGTTCATCGAAGCCCCTCAACCCGTTGGCCTCGGCAAACCTGCAGGCATGGAATTTGGATATGAACTCTGTCCGGGACTTTTTCGGCACTCGGAAGTCGTCATGGAATCCTGGGGGACAAAAGAAGGTGCCAAAGACTCCTTCCTCCGGAATTTTTACTCCTCTGTCGGATAACCACTCGTGGACCGTCTCAAAATGATAAACCTTGAATAGCGATTGTGTTCGCAAACAAGTCAAGCAAACTCTTTCCATGGTGGGTAGGAACACGAGTCCTCCGAATCCACCGCAGGATACACATTCTTGTCTGCCCAGCGCGGAACGAAGCACAATGGCCGTGGTGCATTGGGCCAAGTCCGTCCGCATTAATGCCCACACGAACTCCAGGGCGACTTGGGCAACTAGGCGGTATTCGTTGCAGCCGTTGATTAGATCTCGCGCTGCGCGATTCGCGTGACTGAATTTGAGCGCAGTTTTAAGGTCAAAGCTCCGGGCAATATTGAACCTGATCTCGTGGGGGAATCTCTCGAGTATGCCCAGATCCGTTATCAGCGGCTGCTCACCGAGGACCGTGAAAAGCGTGGCCCGAACGGGCCTATGCTTGCGTGAGTGAGAATGGATCGCGACGTGCTTGGGCGGCCATGTCAGATCCCGGAAACGCAACCGCAGTTCTCCTTCTGAGCGTGGTGCATCCGTTGTGCTTCCAGCGTTGAGTGCAGATGCTAAGACACGTTCGGAATACGACTGGTGTGACGACTCCAGTTCTTCTTCTTCTGAGCGTGGTGCGTCCATTGTGCTTCCAGCGTTGAGTACAGATGCTAAGACAAGTTCGAAATACGACTGGTGTGACTGTACGCGAGAGAGACAGGTGAGGGCACAGGTTCAGGATGGGGAGGACAGTAGGTGAAAGAGGGGGATGTTTGATGCAAGATTGCACATTCTGCTGATGTTACGTCGGGTAGAGTATTCTGCCTGTACACACAGCGAGAGGGGCAGCTGCATTGGTCTCCTCATTGACCTCGCACAAGCTGTCTCATGTCCCCAGCTCGTGTCGGCCAATGGCGATTATTGAATTAATCAATGTTGCTTTTTGTTTTACAGCCACCTCCCCCCTTCCAGGCCACACTCCAGCTTTCCGATGGCATATAGTCGGCCTTGCTATTAACGCTACGACCCCTCCGAGGCCCGCCGATCTGCCCTCCCTGACGGATGTTCTGTCTTTCACTGTCGGTATGCCGGTTTCTCTTCGCCGAAGAGCCAGCGGGGCTGCGATGCATTCAGCCAAGCACAACAGCCGAACCACGTCCTCGATTGCGACAAGCTAGTCCTCTTCGACGCTTCGCTATCTCTATCGAAACGGTTGATTATTAACAACATATATACGGTGCGGTGCTGGCGAGGGATAATTACATCCTACTGTCACCGGTCTAGTACCGTGATAGTGGGAAAAGAGTATCCGACAAGACTGAAGGCTTGTAGAAGCAGATACAAAGTACGAAGGGAGTTGCAGCAGAGGGACAGCAGATCTGTCAAAGGGACGTCGAAGAATAAGCAGTGAGAATGGATAAAGATCCAGCTGTTGTGAGGAACTGCGTCTTCCCATCAACCGAGAGTCACTGCAAAGATTAAGGTATAACTTCTGCATACGTGAACTACTATGACTTCAAGCCACGTCTTTCAGGATCCTGCTTTGCTGACCTTAGGTTCAATGAACGATGCTACGGCTACCTGAGTTGAAGGGACTTACTAAACCACACATATCGCAGGCAATAGAAGAGTGACTACACAAAAGGGTAGAACAGGAGACACCGTCGATATCGCCGGGATAAATCTAGCTCTCGCTCGTGGCAGTCGGGGCCGTATGATGGCCGAACTCTCGTTTACTACCTACTTACTTTACCTACCTACCTAAGTAAGTAAAGTGAGGTGCATGTAGGTAGGGACCAAACAACTCTGACAAAGCGTTGTCTGTTGGCTCTGTTGAAAAGAGCCCCCAGCCCGGCTCCCTTGCATGAGGAAGTAAGCAGGCAACCGACTGACAAAGAACATGCATACGCAGAACCCCAGCGTCAATTTTGGCACAGTGTCGACACGGTCAACCTAGTCACGAAATGCCGAGGTGAATATCGTAGCATAACTTATGTTATGACTGAAAATTAGGTCTCGGCCTTGCGTGGAAAAGGCTTTAGTGTTGCATGCTTTATTTCAGCCACTGGGCAGGCTCGTCTACACCTCCTTGTTCTGGGTTGGGGGAGAGTGCAAGGCCACGGGAGCGACTACTGAACCAACAACCACCCCTCCCCCGGGACTAAACGGCAAGGGACCTAGGCCATTTCCTCCCACCTTGGGCACTGTGTAAGTACAAAATATACGACGTCGCATCCCCTTCACCCTCGTCCTCTGTCTTGAGAATCTCACATCACACCCAGACGAAGAACCACCTGTTTCCCATCTTCCCTTTTCAATTTGTATTCATTACACAGACTAATAGACCCCGTCTGGCTCAAATCAGACCAGGAATCTCCTGAAGACAAAGACGCCGCGAGACCCAAGTCAAGCCAGACTGCAAAGCAACACCCAGCTTGTTCACCGGACCATCATCGTCGTAACAATGTGCAGATATACCACTGCTGAGCTTCGCCATATGGACTGCCGAAAGGTGGGCAGCTTTAAGCACAAGACAATTCATCGCCTATTCAAGCGGTGTTACCAACGCCCTGCTCCTGGTCCTCGCTGCGAAGAGCCCAAGAGGGACCTTTCACTCGGGCATCATGAGCCTACCGAGCACAGAGGCCGCTGCCAGAGGTGCCGTGACTCGGGAATATCGCTCGAGGATGAGGTGGAAGATGTGTGTAGCCCTCATTACCAAACCCTTGTGAGACCTTGTGTGCTAACTCTGCTGCAGCATGATCTGTGGGAGCCAGTGACAACATGGATTTAACATTGCCAACTGCCGCCCTCTTCGTTTTGCCTGCACTCTGCTCATTCTGTCCCAACTTCATTGTCACTGCCATCAACTTCGAGTTCTCATTCAGTGCATTTCTTCTTTGGTTTTCAATACTATGGAGTTGGATTCCGGCTCGCTCAAATTTCTATCCGCTGGTAAATCAGCAATTGTCTACGGGATCGACGACGCAAGGGTGCTCAAGCGGTACTACGAAGACGAGGACGAAGACGAGAGCATCCTCACGGAGCGCCTTGCATTCGATCGGCTCGGAGCTCACGCCAACATCGTTGAACGCCTTGATTTCGGTCCCAGATCTCTTGTCCTTGAACGCGGCCGGCCCCTCAACAAATTGACCAGAACCTCCATCCCAATGGCAACAAGACTCAGCTGGGTCAGGGATGCAGCGGAGGGTCTACGCTATGTTCACCAGCACGGAATCATCCACGCCGACGTTGGTTGCGACAACATGATTCTTGTTGGAGGACGTGTCAAGATTATCGACTTTGAAGGGTCCAAGATGGAGGGAAGGGAGGCGACATCGTGCTACAAGTGGAACAGTTGCCAGGGCATCATCACGATTGACGAGGAGAGCGACGTCTTCGCATTTGGCTGTGCTGTCTACGAGATCATCACCGGCCTGCCCCCTTATCATGAGCTGGAGGATATGGAGAACCGGGCGCTCCTCTTTGAGCAGCTGTTTGCGGAGGGCCGGTACCCCGAGGTGGCTCACCTGCCCTTGGGCCAACTGGTGCAGGGCTGCTGGGATGGCTCTCTACGGTCTATGGACAAGGTCCTGCAGGCGCTGGACACTGACGACAGCATTACGGTAACCTGATTTTCGCGTTGGACAGCTGCTCGCTCTATGCACTGGGTGATTGGGGAGGGCTGCCCCCGTGTAATTTAGGCGTCTGCTCCCGCTTCAACATCCTGTCTGTGGTTGCCAATCGGCACGTTATTTCCTATATTAGCTATGCAACACTCATTAATACACCGCTTTTCCTATTGTACCTCCCAAGATGCCCAAATCGATGCCGTTCGTAGATGCGTCCTGAGTCGCCCCTGGCACACTCTACCCTGCCAACATCAACTCAGTTCATGCCGTCGCTTTAGCACCGTGCATCATTGCCCGCACTACCCCTCCATTGAGTAAAGTGCTGTGCGACGTCAGGGCGTTTTTCCCTTGTCAATAGACCCTCCCCCCCTTGCCGGCCTGCTTGACAGGGACTTTGCGAGCCAAGCAACCAACATCGGAGCTGTGATGTGATGCGGAATCACGGATGCGAAATGGGCTTTTTGCATGAATCACGCGCACTCATTGGCTGGAAGGACCCCACCGTGGCGCTGATCGCTGCCTCATTTGGACAGGTTCTCGCTTCTCGGGCTTGGCGGGCCTTGGGATCCCTGCACTTTGAACTAGACCCCTGCAAGTCGGCAAGCACACCAGAGCCCTGACCAGCCTCTGACCAGCCCGCGGAGGTGCAAGTCAAGCAAGTTGAAGGACCCCTGCACGCACACCCCAACCTTGCACAGAACCAACAGCGTCGCAAGAAGCAAGTTGTGCAACTTGATGCTGCGACGCCCACCCGAGCTTGCACAGCTAGAGCCAACAGCATTGCAGCAGCACACCCCCTTGACGCCCAACCTTGCCAAACACGAACCTTTGAACTCTCACTAGCAACCAACAGCGTCTCCACGGACAAGTGGGTGATCTCCAGGCACTCAGGCAAATCACGGAGGAGTCAGTAGCGTCCCCGCGCAAACTTTGCTCTAGTTCTCCCCCAGTCTCCATTGTCCAGGGCCAGCCGCCAGGCTCTTCTGAGAACGGAAGGCGATCCGTCGATCTCTCGCTCACAAACTCTCGCAAGGCAAGGCTCATGCGAAGCAAACAACAGATGGCTCAGAGAGCATGCAAAAAGAGATAATATGCGACTTTGAAGGAAAGGTTCATGTACCTCTGTCGTAGACCATGATGGAAGCTTCGCCCTGTAGCAGTAGAGGAAGCCATCTTACACGTACCCCCAGGGACACTACTTGAGCCTTACTGTACCTATTCATGGAAACGGGCAGGCATATCAGAGTCAGTGGCGATGGAAGTTGCACAGATACAGTGCCAAAGGAAGGAGCCCATGGGGAGCTGCCCGCAGTCCAACAAGTGGTTGACGAGGGCTCCTTCCACATTTCCAAGGCAACATACAGACAAATGAGAAATCCAACATTGAAGGCCTTTCAGCTTCTTCCTCAATCATCACTCGTGCTCCGTGTTTTCCTCCAGATCCAACCAGCCTTACCACGCAGCCCTACAAAGATTCTCAGAGCGATCAATGCCCTGAGAGCACTGACGGCTCAATTCTCCTCTCCTTTGTTCAAGGGCGCCCTCAGTTTCGGTCCTGTTCTACCCTTGGCGCTAATCACGCCAGGTTGCCTGGCGCTGAACATCGTCCAATTCCATCCGTCCGAAAACTCTCCTGGTGCCGTCAGAGCACATGAACTACATGAGGGAAGATTTTACCTGCCCCGCGTCTTTAGGCTGGCTCACTAACTTAATGCAAACTCAGTATCGGTAGAGGTGCAACCCTTTGTCGTCAGACCTACGGGCATGAGGCCAGCGAGGGGGCACGGCTCCAGTCCGTCACTCCTTTGAACCCATCAGCTTCGCCGCCTGATTCACGATTCCATGTACTTTAACCTCCAGCACTCCGCTACGGTGCTCCTAGTCCCGGATCCCATTCGGCATCACTCGATCTTGACGCACCCCATCGCCACCTCGGGGCAGTCCGTCTGTCTTGCCCGCCACTCCAACAAAGAACACTCAATTCCGGCTTGAAGACGTGATAAAGCCCGTGACAACCAACAAGCCTCGGCCAAGCTCAGGTGCCCTTCTTCCCCAACTAGATCCACCTTACAGAGTTTCCGGCTAGCAGTAGCTGGTGAGGAACGCGGCGCGCTCCGGCCTTGCGACTCGCTTCAATTTCAACCCCCAAGAGCACAGATCATGGGCTAGGGCAGACGACTAAGTTCACGGGGAAACACTTTGGAGTGGGCCTAATTCAGGTGTTCTATTTTGCAAGTTGGCAGCGAATGAATCGTGTCGGGTGTTGTCTGCAGCAGACTGGTTAGGTCTGCCACACCTCTTGTTGGCGGCACCGCAGCCGAAGGGGTATTGACTCGTGCGTCGATCAACCTTTCCCCTGTTTGGATGAGCTAACAGAGTTACAGGTGATACAGTATGCTCGCCGCCTTGCACACAGCCCTTTGACATCATTCCGACAGCACGATCAGCAGGCGACCATCGCCCTCTTCGGCTCCTGTATCTGGCAGCTTCACACAGCATTGCAATGAGGGACGGCGACGGCGACAGCAATGATGATGTTCTACGGCCAGAAGTCCCTCAACAGAGAGTATCAACGAACCTCAGCACACCTCTCAACACCAACATGTCATTTCGAGCAACAACTGAGATTCATGCTATAGTAGCATTACAGCCATTAGAATACAAAAAGAATGAGCATTACCAGAATCAGAGTGATGAGAAGTGGAAACAGAAGAGTCATTATCATTAGAAGCTATGAAACCGCCTTGCACAGAAGAGACAATTTAGCGACCCGACAAGAACCGCTACACTTATTCACTGGCAGGTCCCTGCACCACAGGTGTCTCCAAGCTGTGATCGTCCCTTTCATGAATGAGCTGGCACCGGCTGGTAGAAAACCACCAAGCCAAGCTCCCACCCCAAGGGATAAACTCCCCGCCCTCGTCGGCTGCATGATCAGCGAGTTTTAGGTCGACAACCTCGCGCCTATCCCTGGAAAGCTTGAATGCTATGCCTCTTGAGGCACCGATTTCAGTTGGCCCTTGTAGCCAGTCAAGCCGGACATGCCCGACACTTCTTTGGCGGCCATCTTGATAGGAGAAGAGCAGGCCGGTGATGTTCGGTGCACTCCCTTCGTTCCTCGCCTTCTTCTTCTTACAAACTTCTATCGAGGTCACGCCATCCAGAGGTGCAGATGAATAAAAGCACTGCTCAGAATCCAGCTGTCTGTCAGGTGCCGATTTGGGCGGAGGTACGGCAGGCACAGAGGACAAATCTGGCGAAGGACTCTGGAAACCAAGCGTCGAGATACCCAGATAGGACTGATTGAAGAAGAACCGCTGCCTCTCCGTGGATTCGCTCATAGAATCCCAGGTATTGGGGCGGTCCATAAAGGGCTTGGGCCTTGGTCCGGCTTCCCATACGCGACCCCGGTCTGTCTTCATCTAGGGTAGATACCATCAGCAACAATATGGGACATTGGGTCAATTTTCATGGCACTTACAATAAGGGCAGTGGAGCGGTGGCCATCCCCTGGGTCAGTCCGCAACCAGAACTGCTCGATCAACTCGCCTTGATCCATGGGCATGTAAACCCAGACGGCACGTTGAGTCGTCCTCTTCAATTCATCATAGAAGGCAAAGTCCTCTTCTCCCTTGACGTGGGCATGGAACGAGGACAGGTTAGAAGTCCACCGCACAGAATAGCCAGTGATGGATGGCAAATTGCATTCGGCGAACTTGATGCGGAGCATCGAAGGGTCCCCCGTCTTAATAGGATACAAGCATGGAAGATTGTCCTGTGGCTGGGGCGTAGCCCAGCATTGCTCCCACGTGGGGAACTCTTCACACGCAGCCGGCTTCATTTGACGCAGTTTCATGCCCTGGACATTGTCAGTATCTGCTCCGATCGCAGGGGATCATCAAACTTACATCGCTCTGGCAAGTAAAAGTGTCGCCATCAACCACCATGGTAACCCACCAAAGGCCTTCCTGTGGAGAGATGCTAGGCGGCTCTTGATCCACGCCGAAAGCGAGTTGTCGGATGCCCAAATAGTCGAAGGCGACGTAGAGGGCCTTGATTGTTCCCTCCGGTTTCCGCAGCTTGACAACCCTGCTGGCTTGGTCTTCAGGGGGAGGAGGGGCAGTGTTCATCAGGCACGCGATGTACTCCTTGCCCTCGAACTTGACAAGACGAGCCCAAATGTCACCATCCACTCGAAAGGAGGTTTCCTTGGGGTCGTTATACCGCGCTGTCGACATAGAGTGGGCTGAGATGAGCGCAGGGAGGCAATATCCAGCAGTATGATGCCACACCTCGTATGAGAGCGTATTATTGCTACGTTTCAGGTCATTGGTCAACTCCCTATGCAGCCAATTCAGACGGCGCCCGAACTCTGCCATGGTTGGCGCATAACGAAAGGCAACCTTGTCCAGAGCTGACCAAAGCACATCTGCCTCGAATCTCTCTCCGACACACTCAGGGTGGCAGGCGTGAGCCCAAGGAGAAGGCAGTGTGTCTTGCACACTTGGGACCCAACCTTTTCGGTTTTTATTAAAGTCGTCAAACTTTAATGGCACATTATCCAACGGACACAGGGTGGACACAGAGCCATCTGGTTTCACTGAAGCTGTCGGTTAGCGGTTGGGCGTCACAAGCAAGGGAGGTGAGGACGGGAAAGGAATGGCAGACACACATTCGACCATTGAATCTCCCACGTTGAAAAGGACCTTGCACAGCTCACACCAAGGCCTGGTATAGTCAAAGAGAGTATGGAGGCCTCCAAACAGAGGACCTCGCCCCTGAGGAATTAGCTGATGTGTTCCATCATCTCCCACATAGAAAGCTTGTCCCGACAACTGAAGACCTCCACCCAGAAAGCTCATGGTGGCGGTTGCGCAGGGCGAGATTGGAATGTAGAAGAGAGGGACGATATATTGACGACGGAGCGGAATTGCTGCCTAGTTAACTTTATAATGGCAGCCGACAAAAAGCCATGAGAGTGAGAGCCATGCGGGGGAGGAACGAGACAACAGAGACAACGAGAGCCAGAGAGACCAACGAGAGAACAAGACAGGGCGGTTCGGATAGCGCCCCTGAGCGTGATTGGCCTGTGCCAGGGGTCGTGCGTGCAGGTCGCAGCACTCCAACGTGAAGATGCACCTCCAGAACACCACCTACGTAACAAGACACTCGCAATCGGGTGATGCATGAACAAGCATGCAGAGGGCCTGCCTATTGGGGTGCAGTGGTAAGGCGCATGTCAGACACCCTGCGGTCTAGATGCCCGTCCGGCCACACCATCACAGTCTATGGACGGGAAATGTGCAAGACTGACTTGCTGAGTGAGCCAACGTCGTGCCGTACCCTGTCCCCCTCAATGAGGCTCGGCTCACCATTGGGGATTAGTCGCAGTCCAATGTAACGCAGCGCACAGGGATACGACTGGACGAATGCCTGAGAGACACTCACATCGTCTTCTCCCCCGCCAGGATTCTGACCGGCTCGGGGCGTTTCTGCAGCTCCCTCAAGGCCCTTGCAAACCTTGATGCCAGCTGAGTTTCAGGATGCTGTGACCCTACTTGGCCCCGTGGGGCTTGACACACGCTTGATAGTTTGCGGCTCTCATCTTCCCCAGCCAAACACGCGCCCATTCATGCATGTCGGATGGGCCAAGAGGATAATCAGTGCCAAATTTGAACACTCAACCATCTATCGCTCGAATCACAAGCATGTCAAACTCACTCATCACAGCTTGCTGCTCTGAACATAATCCCATTTCCCTGACGCATACATAGCCACTGGAACCCACACCAACAGGACATAGCAAAGTCGATATATCACATTCGCGGGACATTACGACGACAGGTTATCTCACCGGCGGTAATTCTGAACCGGCCATTGGGTCCTGGATGGCCAATGTGCAAATGTCTCCCCGCACGCAAAAGCAATAATGAATGCATCGAGATCACATTGCTGCCCAACCAACCCTCAGCATCGTATTGTCGCTTTGCTTTTGCGTATGTGGCGTTGCGAGCCAGCTCGATCAAGGATCCAACATGGCCAATCAACGCATCTTTTCGGTCATTTTCCTTGCTTCATGCTTCCGAAAACTTCCTTTACGCGTCATAAGGCCTCCGCTCTCTCATCATGATGGTGTTGAGATTGACCCTATTTGTCTGTTTCTCGTAATATCACGGAGAAGCAGACACCCTCTCCTCAAGTATGTGGGACCTTTGTCGGATCTACTTTGCTAGCGGCCATCGGGTATCGACCTGCTGAGAACAAGCTCAACGGAAACCAGGGGGTCAGCGGCACTCAGGTACTGGCCGGAGCACAAGTATCTAGGCCTAGCTGCCAGGGATGGGTAAATTGATGGTTGGGGAGTGTGCCTCCCGCAGATGGCTCCCGTTTGCATGCCCCCCGGTCGTGATTCCGGCGGCTCCCATCATCGCAAGTGTGGTTGACTCCTCACAATTCGCAACACATGAGCTGTTTGGGCAACAACATCCTCAAATGCTGGCTCAAGCTGCTGGCTCAAGCTGCTAGTTGAAGCTGCGGGTGGTACAAGAAGTACATTAGCGAAACAGTAGTGTATACAACCGAAGTTCAGAGCCGTCACAGTTGGAAAAAGCAAAGAGGCCGGGCAAATGGCCCAACGCACATGCTTCCCTGCTGAAACATGCACAAGGCCGACTCCCAACAATCCTACACAGAGATGCTACCCAAGAGCCCTTGACATACCTTTCACACAGCTGCAAGTGGCGTGGTCAGTCGTCACGGTCGAGTGAGGTGGGGAGAAAGCAGCAGGAAGGGGGTCTCATCGCCAGGTTACTCTGCCACGTCCTCAACACCAATTCAACGCATTTGATTGCTACCTGAGATGTTACACGGCATACCAGGCCCAAATGAAGGCCAATTGCCCTTTGCAGCTGGGGATGCAGCAATGTGTGGTGGGTTACTGCATTCAGCAACATCTCTGTTTTTGTGAAGGCTCGCCGCGGCACCGAGGAAATGAAGATGAAATGGCTTCGCAGGATGGTTCTCGGGCAGTTCTGCGTTGTTGATTGGCTGCAGAAAAAGCCCTGTGGGTAAGACGATACCCAATTCGGCCGTCGGCAGTCCGTCCAGCTCCCAAGACCAAGTCTCAGTTGGTCTGTACACTCCAAGTTCACAGTTCACAGTTGACTTAGGTCAGAGCTACAACAATCGCTCGTCGTAACAGCAGATAGATTGGTCAGCTACACAGCGACCGCTCGTCTTCACGAGAGACAGACTGGTCAGCTTCGCAACAACAGAGAAGGCAGTCAAGATTAATCTACCTAGGAAGGCTGGCAAGGCTGGGTAGGCCCTACCAGTTAGTGTGCAGCCTAAGCGTACACATTTCAACATCTCAAAGCATTTACATTGCATCAAGCAATTCAATAATAAATAGCAAAGCATTGCTTATCCAAGCCTTATTATTGAGTTTTCAAGAAATTGCTGTGCTTTTTCAAGCACAGCGTTTTAACTAAGGCATTTCTCCCTACCTAGATATCTACCTACTACTGGTGCTGAGGTGATGAATGTCGGGCAGTCCACATCTTCTCGACGACGTGTGCTGCCAACAAGCCATCGTGCCTCAATTCCATGGTCATCTTCTCAAAGAAGCCACCTGAACATACGTTCTATCCCGAGAAAGCTGCCACAAACTCTTCCAATCTGTAAGTCGTGGCGAGGCACATCGATCTCGGCTACTAGAGACGGTTAATCAACCACCACACTGCATTCACACATCGTTCTCTTGCGCAAAATGTCACGTTGTGATACACGAGTATTCTTCATCGAGATGTCACCTAGTTTCATTTTTCTATTGACATCACCAAAATGCAGAACCCTTCCAATGCTAAGTTCTTTCCCATCCGGCGGAACACCTCAAGATAAAAAATCACAAAGAACCGCATAGCCTCACGGAACCACCCTCGCTTTTTTAAATCGTAGTCTCGTAGGGGAGGGGAGTGAGGGTCTCGGGCGGGTTGTCGGTCAGGGATACGGTGTGGGCGCCACGAGGCTGGGCGGGCTGACGTTTGACCTCGACGGTGACGCCCTGGGCGCGGGCGTCCTTCTTCTTCTGGGCGTTCTCCTTGACGCGCTTCAGGAAGTCGTCACGGGAGCCGGAGGCACTGACGTGCTCAATGCGGACGTTGATGCGCTTCTCGATGTAGCGGCCCCAGACCTTCTTGTAGATGATGACACCGAGGGCGGACTTGGAGACGTTGTAGACGACACCAGTCTTTCCGTGGTAGACCTTGTAGGGCATACTGCACAACTGTCAGTCAATCGTCCCTCCGCAATCAATTGCTCTACTCCCCCCAGCCCCTCGGGCCATGGGGAGCTGGATGTCGTCTTACCCCTTCTGAACGGCACCGTTGACCTTGATATCAACAATGTCACCGACGCTAATCACCGCACAATTAGTCCCCTCGTTCGCACGGTATTCAATTTCGATTGCAGGGAGAGACGAACTGGTACTGGCGCAGGTAGGTGCTCAGCTGGATCATACCCTTCTTGCGGAAATCCCTGCTGAAGGCATACTGCAATCGACGACGAGACACAGGTTAGCAGAGAGTCCAGGACGAAGGGGAGACGAGGCATGGTGTCAACGTACGCGGGTGCCCGCACGCTTTCCGTATGAGTGACCCATCGCGGCTGTGTTTGTCGAGGGACTGCGAAGGTGATGCTGGTGGTGATTGTTAGTTGCGTGAAAGGCAAAAAGTCTCGAAGGCCTTCTCAAATCGCAAGGTATGGGGTGGATTTTCCGAGCAAGGCCACCTTGTGGGAGTGGAGCGGATCCCACGATTGTTCCGAAATTTTTCCCTCGCGCCGCCCGCCCACCAGAATTGCGGCCCACACCTTGCCTTGCCCTAGAATTTCTAGGGCTGCCGGTGCGCAGGCCACGTGATGCACCCGAGGTTCCCACCTCTTTTCGCGAAAAAGTCAACCACACCAACAGACCTGGCCGAAATTCTTGTGAAGACAAGTCCCTCCATCAACGGCAACTAACCACAGGGAAACGAGACAAGTAAGTTTTCAACATCGTGGAAAACTCCCTTCCTCTCCTCAATCTTTCAGTCAATTGACGTATTGCAACCTGCAGAATGCCTCCCCGCGCCTACTCCAAGACCTCCCGTGTCCCTCGTCGTCCCTTCGAGGCCGCTCGATTGTCAGTACTCACCGGCCACTGAACATGAGCTTGCCTCTGTTTAAGTCGATTGTGACAGCAACACTGACATGGTAATAACACAGGGACACTGAGCTGAAGCTCGTTGGTGAATATGGCCTGCGCAACAAGCGTGAGGTCTGGCGAGTCGGTCTGACTCTGTCCAAGATTCGTCGTGCTGCCCGGTATGTCTCCTGCCCAGAATCGTTTTTCTGCCCCTTGGATCTCTCGAGATCAAGAGGATTTTCCCAGGAACTGCATCGTGCCTGCCTCCCCTGGAATTGCATCTTTCCGGTTGCGTGATCTCGGCTGGAGATTGAGCGCCTCGAGAATTGTATCCCGCAAGACTTGCTTCTCAGGTGCTGGATCTTTGCTGCGTGACCTCGACTGGCGAATTTGCACAACCAGTTCCTTCCCTTCACTCCACTCCCCTTCTCCCTATTCCTCTTTTTCCCAGTCTTCGATCAATGCATCAATCTCCATGCGCCTATAGTTCAAATTACTAACTGTCCCACAGTCAGCTTCTTACCCTCGACGAGAAGGACCCCAAGCGTCTCTTCGAAGGCAATGCCCTCATTCGCCGTCTCGTCCGTGTCGGTGTCCTCGACGAGTCCCGCATGAAGCTCGATTACGTGCTCGCCCTCAAGGTCGAGGATTTCTTGGAGCGCCGCCTCCAGACCTGCGTCC